CTTTTCCTTCACTTCTGACAGCCCCTGCCAGCACTCAGAAGCTGCAAAGAGAAAGCTTCCTGTGATGACAACATCAACATTCTGGGCTACTTCAACTTCATTTACTGCAGCAATACAATTTCAGTCCATATCAACTACGAATCAATTGCTCCAATTGACTAGAAACTGCTGACAGAAAAAAAAAGTGAAACCTCTGCAACTTCATCCCAATTTCCTTTCTGTTTTCCAAACAACTCTGATGAAGTAATCACAAACATCCTTCAAATTTGTGAAGTGCAAAGATGAGTTTGCAAAATTCTGATGGTGGTTGAAATGTTGTGTCCAGGGTTTGTCTTTAGCATTGTGGTAATCGTAAAGGACCTTCCTAGGGTGCTGTGGAGAGGTGGGTGAAGGGGCAGTGGTGGATGCTGCATCACTGGCTCAGAGTGGGATGAGATAAAGAAGGAATTTGGACTCTGCACCTTTCTGGTTCAGAGGCAGTTCCCTCCTGCTTCCTGTGCAGAAGCTGTTTTCCTCTGCAGTTTAGTAGGTGACAAATGTCATAGGAAATGATTAAGTAAAAGCAAGGAGTGTTGATAAGAGGTTTATTCTTCTTCGAGGCTTTTGAGAATGTGTTTTCAGCAGAGAGCACTTCTTTAAGGAATTCATACACATCTTCAGCCTCCCCCAAGGCTGCTGCAGAATTTCCTGTTTTTGTCTTCTCAGAACTGCTAAACTGCTGAAGTTGCCAGTAAAGCCCAGGGTGTGTTATCCAGAAGAGGTGGAGCCTCTAGCAAATCCAGATTCTTCACTGATACTCTCAGACGAGTTATGTGACTATACAGAAGTTAGAGCTGTTCTGTCTCTAACCTTCCAAATGGGGTCAGTTCTCACAGCCACATCTGCACACTAACCCGCAGTGTTTATCCTCTCTCACACTCTTTTCTGTGCACAAACCCGTGGATCTTGTTGTGTAAGTCACTTCAAAGCCAGCTGAGTCTTGAAACCTGCTGTAAGCCCTGAGTGCAGAGTCAGCAGTGTGAAACACAAGTTTCAGCAGCTTTGATACTCCTTTCCATGTCACATCCAGGTCTCAGGGTGAGCAGACCAACCCAAATTGAAGAATTGCTTATAAGGGCCAAGACCCTCATCAGATTCCCATCTGGAAAGCTGCTCTGGCATTACACCAGGTTGAGGAGAGATACAGCACTGCCTCAGTTTCCCTCTGTGCCCTAAAATGCCAGGGAAAGTGTGACAACTCTGCTGGTGTCCCTTCACACCCTGGAGACAGGAGACTTTGGGAAGGTGCTTGGCTGGATGTGGAGACAAGCCTGGCCATGGAGATGGGCCTGACCATGGGCAGCAGACAGAGCAGGCTGGAAAACCACCAGGCTTTTGGGTGTTTTCTGGTCTGTAGACAATGCTTACACCAAATACATAATAGCTGATAAAGTGCAATTACCTGGGGTGTGTAATTAGTGGTTGGCTATGCACAGGTAATGGGCAGACAGGGCATGGAAATCACATTGTTCTGTGGCTGTGCATGCTAAGAGTCAGTGCAGGGCAGTTCTGCCAGGAGTTATCTCTAAAACCTTCCTGAAAGGCACTGCAGTTAAACATCTGGATGCCTTCCAGAGAAAAACAACTGAGCTCAGATGTACTTTCATGGAGATAATTTGCTTTCAGGAAAACCTGGAGCCCCCAACCCATCCCCTCTGTGTGTGATGGTGAGCTCAGCTCACAGAGGACTCATCCTAGAGACAGTGGGTTGGACACCTGTGGCAGAGCCATAGAATCATAGGATCTTAGGGGTTGGAATGGAGCTTAGAGATCATCCAGCCCCAACCCCTGCCCTGGGCAGGGACACCTCCCACCAGAGCAGGTTGCTCAAGGCTTTATCCAGCCTGGCTGTGATCACTGCCAGGGTTGGGGCAAATGAACCATGAGCCTCACCTGAGAACATGCTCTTTTCTAGAGAGAAACATCTGTCCACTGGAGGAAGCATTTCTTAGCCCAGAAGTAGCAATTTTAATCCATTCTCTTTTATTTTATGAGCCTGCATGATCTGCTTAAAATCCTCCTGAAATGCCTACATGAAACACACCTTGAACTCCTCGACTCAGACTGATCTGCTGCAGTTCCGCCCGGAGATCCCACTCATAAACCCACAGCTTATTTGTTGATAACAGACTCAACAAATGCAATGTATTGCTTTGGCTGCTCTTCTCCTTTGTCTTGGATTGCAGCCTCTCTCAGAGCTTTGATTTCCAAATGACTTGTTAAGCTTTCCCAGCCTGAACAGAAAAGCTTTACTTTCATGTTTCTTATACAGCATGTGGAACGTGGAAACTCAGCCTAACTCTGGATGCAACTCCTAAGACCTTTCTTCCTCTTGGGGCTCCATGTGTTGCTCCTTCAGGAGAAGGCTGAGTGGCTTCTTCAATGCTTGTGTTGCTGCTGTCAGCAGAGAGGAGTCAAACCAAGCAGGGGAGTTATTCTGGGGGAGGCAGTGCCAGCACTAACCATTATTTCATCTGCAGCAATAGCTCCGTGGCATGAGGGGCAGCTACAGCCAAACTGACTGTTTTGCTTGTTTTTCTGCCAAGAGGATTTCCTGATTCCTGAAATTAGCCCCAGTGCCAAGTGATACGGTCAGATCACGTGGGCAGAACGTCCTAATTGCCTTGGGAGGACAGAATGCAATCAGCACAGACCTGCTCCTACAGTAGGGACTGTGGGGGAGTTGTTCTCTTCCACAGAAAACCTGATTTATCTGTAACAGAATATGAATATCTACACTGTCTGTAATATAACAATATATGTAGACAGTCTGTACTTTCAGCCTGGAAAAGAGAAACTTTGGGGGAGGCCTAATTGTACCTGATATGGACTGACAAGAAAGATGGAGAGAGACTATTGACAAGGGCCTGGAGGGACAGGGCACAGGGAATGGCTTCACCCTGACAGAGAGCAGGGTTAGGTGGGATATTAGGAAGAAATTCCACCCTATGAGTGCTGAGGCACTGGCACAGGTTGCACAGAGAAGCTGTGGCTGCTCCATCCCTGGGAGTGTTCCAGGCCAGGCTGGATGGGGCTTGGAGCAGCCTGGGCTGGTGGAAGGTGTCCCTGCCCATGGCAGGGGGTGGAATGACATGATCCTTAAGCTCCTTCCAACCCAAACCCTTCTATGATTCTATGTTAGTATCATTGACTACGCAGAGCATATTTTTATTTGAAAAATGCCTGAATACTATACTAATCCAGAGGCAACTGCAGCAGTATGAAGTCAGCAAACCCCATGACAGCATATTCCTCTGCTATTCCTCACTATCCTGACATCTGGCCCTTTCCTACCAGCATGTAACCATGGTGGCTGTCTCCCTGTATGTATTTTTACATGCATTGATTTAATTAAAGCTCATATAATGTAGATAAAACCTGAAACATTTTTGATTATGGAGCAAAGCTGGGTGTAACAAGCCCAATTCTTCCCTCGTGCCACCATAAATAGAAGCACAGAAGTCACCAGTCCTACACAGCTGTAGAAGTAGGTCGTTATGAATCAGGTTTGAAATCTGTTTGCAGTTACTCTTGATTGATATCACTTGATCAGGCATGAAAGGCCCATTGTGCCAGGGAGGGGAACAGAAAGTACCATTACAACTGGAGGACTTTTCATCTGTGCTCTCTGAGCATAGAACCAGCAAGAAGTTTTGCTTGTCCATCCCAAGCCTAGAGGTTTGAAAAACACCACTTACCTCCAATGGCTCCTAGGGAGAAAGAAAGCTCTGTCCTCTAGGACCAGTTAGAAAGGTAATTCTGCAAATTTCACACAATTCTCACTTGATTTCCAGTTCTTCACTCCAATAAAGAACATCAGCTAGTCCCTCTGCAGCAGAGTCTGTACGTGCTCATTTATGCCTTAATGTCACATCAATCATCAGACCACAGGCACACAAATAACTGATTTTGTTTAAAAATTAAAGCAGCAAATGATTATTTTTTTTCTCCCAAAGAATAAGTATTAGTTTATTTAAAGATAAAGATGTCAAAATATACAGTACTGGATCACTCAGATGCTAGTGGGGATTAAACTGTCAGGCCCCTGGTTCCCTGCACAGGTTAGCCCAGGTCTGAATACACAGAAATCTGAATTTTCTGCCAAATTTATTAACTACAGTTATTACAGGAGGCTTGTGAAGCAGGGAGGTGCCTGGCCAGCTCTGATTTTGGTTTTTATTAGGATTAATTACAAGTACGGATATAAACACAGATCTGAATAAACAGCTAAGTTTCCTAGGACTGAGAGACATTAATTCCAGGCTGGGAGGTGCAGCCTGGCGTTAGGAGTGTGCTGGGGACGTGGGTGCCCTCTTGTGTTCCTAGTAGCACCTTAAATAGCTTTTAATTTGTTATCCCACCTCACCCAGGCGGCAGAGAAGTTGTCTCCATCACGTGAAGCCTCTGCGTTTTAGCGTTTTAATTCCCATTAATAACCAAAACGAAGCATAACTTGATCACCACTGATCCTATTATACTGCAGGCTCGCTGCTAATTTCAGCTCTATTGCAAACCCACAAAGAGGGACTCGGTTTTTACATTTAAGTAGAACATTTATCAAAGGAGATTTGTGGTTGTGTGTTTTTTTTTTTTTTTTTTTTTCCTGGCTGCTTTAAAGCTCTCTGAAGTGGAGGATTTGTTGCTCATGCCTTGCTGCCCAATCTGCATTCCTTTGTCACATGCAGTTTTCTCTGCCACTTTCTTACCTTACATCCTCTTCCCCTCTCTAAACTTCAAATCATCCACATGACCTTTCTTTAAACATGCTACACATTGATCTTTAGAGTTGCTTTCTAGCATCTCATGAACAAACCCTGTAAAGGATAGACCTTAAATGATACACCAATGTTTGCTTTAGCCTCAGGCATTCGATGACAGCCATGGAAAGGAACAGAATGAGTCATCTCTGCTGCAAGGAGCTCACAGAGAGCTGCTGAGCCTTCAGCAGCCAAGGGGAGTCATTACTTGGATTTCCCAGCAGGTAGGATAGACACTGGATCTGTTTGCACTTCTGCATCAGACATCCTTTTGGAACCCTGTGGAACAAGACAGAGACATTTAGAGACATTTTTCAGAGTGGTTGAGCCTGGAATTTTATCTCTGAGCTTCGCTAGCAGATATTTTCCATTCATTTCACCTCCCTGCTTGTCTTCATCTGCCCTTTATTAATACCATAAGTATAGGAGCACCATCTGTATTGTGAGACTCACAGAAAGCTACTGCTTGTGACTTTGCCTAAATGTGTGGGTTATTTTAATATCATTTTCCCAGCTGGCATGGAAATCAATTGTTTTCAGGAGCTGGACTAACATTCCAAAGCCAAACTACTGTGTATTTTTTAGTATTGTCACTTTGGCATGACTCTGAAACCTCCCTGGCCTAAACGCTTCACTGAAACCCTCCTAAGAGTCCTTCAAGCATGATTAATAGTGTATTATAGCCAGCCTTGCTCTGCTCTAGGTTAGGGGAACATTAAATACTTTTCTGCATGACAGGTATTCCACAATGTCAGAGTGACAAAGCTTTTTTACACTGCAAATAGAATTCTGGGGTTGGAACCAGTTCAAGACACTAATCCAGCTTAGGTGAAGGAAATGTATAGGTTTAGCCATGCCAACTACATTTTTGACTAGCAACTGATAAAAACTTGGCTGCAGTTTAAGGTGCCTGAGTGAATTTTACTGGCCTTGAAGCTATGAAAACCTCAGAACATGACAACAAAACAGAGCCACAAATGCTGTTTCAGGGGTCAGTGTTCACAGAGTGTGGGATGCCAATGCTGTTGGTAGCCAAATGCCCAAATCATTACATGCTAAACAGAAAAAGCAGCATGACAAAGCTAAGGGTGACTGCTGTGTGCTTCCCCTACAATAGGAACTGTGCAGAATCATATGTGAATTGTCCTTTCACACAGTAGGTTTCCACTGGAAACCTGAGTCATCACTTCAGGACAATTCTGTGTCAGAGCAGGAGAGTGAAAGATCTCCACTTCCTCATCCCTTTCAGGGAAGTAAAAACACTGGGGGTTTTATACTGATTACATTCCACCTCACTCATCTTCTCTTAACTTTTCACCTTTGAGAATTTAAGGCTGAAAAGGAGCAGCCAAAAATCACAATGGACTGAAAGAATCCTCTGTCTAAAACTAACTGTAACCCAGTGCAGCTCAGCTGGCTGCAGTGGGTTTGCTTACACTGATGTTGAGTTTGGAAGATGCTCTAGAGCTGAATAAAACTTTTTGGCCATTTATATATAGCAGCAAACCCATCATTTATCCATCAAACAACACCAAGTGAGCTACTCATCCCAAGTTTATCCAGCGACCCTAAAAACTTACCCATCAGGTAAAAGATTTCCCACATTACAGGAGGAATGGAATCTATCAACTAGAGCTCCTGTCTGAGCATGAAGGCACTTCTAGACTGGTCTAGGAAGCAAGATGATATTCTTTGCCATTCTTCCTATAAATGGGTGGAGGGAGGAGACAGGAGGGGAAGCTCCTTTGAGCTAATCCCCATTTTTTACCTCTTTTTGCAGAGGTGTCATGTTATTTGCTCGTGCCACAGTCTCCTGCTCACCCATTTTCCAGGTGGTTGCTGGTTAAAGCAGGAAGCTCTGAGGGAGACTGGCTGATGGTTCTGGTTCAACTGGAATTTCCAAGCCTGGTGGGAAATAAAGAACTTTGTTCCTGCCCTTTTAACGGACAAATTCCAGCTCTGCCCTGGGATTCAGGAGCACAGGTACCACCAGCTCAGGTCCTGCAGTGGAAGTTGGCAGCTGAGCTGGAACATATTATTTTGGGCAGAGCACACAGGAATGTCATGGTATTGCAGGATATTTTTTCCCAGCCTGTGCTCAGGAGGAGACTGTGTCAGGGTAGCACAGACTGATCAGAATAGCCCTGAATAGTTTCCACATGCTAAGCACTCCCAGTTTCTGACAACTTAAGTATGAGTTATTCCAGCTCAGAAAACAATGCCATTAATCTTTTTGCTTTTTTTTTTTTGCTTTCTTTTTTCTTTCTAATCTAATCTCTCTAAGACTCACTAAATACATTTTATATAGCTTATAAATTAATCTCTTTCACCAGAGGAACAAGCACTGAACCTTATCATCTATGCTCAAACCAGGCCAGGATGCTCTTTGCTTCCTTTTGTAGCCAAACTTTCA